TGACCCCTGGGCCAAGCGCCCCCGCACCGCGGACGGAGGTCCCGAGCGTGCTGCTGGGTCGCAGGACCCAATGGACGCAGTGCAGGCGGCCATCGCTGCATCACAGGACTTCCTCACGAAGCAATTGGACGCGAAGCTGGCTGCTATCAAGTCTGAGGTCATCGCGAACTTCGGAGAACAGCTCAAGGGCCCCCTGGCGGCGGTGGTGTCCCAGCAGGCCTCGCAAAATGCTCAGTTTCGAGGTGAGATCACAGAGCTGCAGTCAGCCTCCCAGCGCCTGGAGGACTCGAACAAGCAGATCTGGTCCCAACTGGCGGAGCTACGCAAACAGCTCCACATGCAGGAGGCGCAGATCCCGATCAAGGATTACGAGAACCTCCTGGAGTGGGATCGGGCCGCCGACACCAGCATCATCGTGGCCACGGCCGCGGAGAATTTCTCCCTGGAGCGTTTCAAAGAGAGCATCCAGCCCATCATGGATCGCTGCGAGTTGGAGTCTGATCAGTGGTCTATTCAAGGCAAAAGCCCCGCCCGTCGCTACGTGGTCCAGTTCTCAGGGGATGCCAACTCCGCGTCCCGCAAGGTGCGCCTCTTCTACTCCAAGCTCAAGAATGCGGACGGCTCCTGGCTGGAGACGGAGGTGGCAAACATTCACGGACAGAACTCCCGCCTCTACTTGGGCCTTGACAGATCAGCGAAGTCCGCCCGATGCGAATACCAATCTAAGAAGTTGGCGCAGTTCGGCAGAGAGCACGCTCCTGACAAGCGCTGGCGCGCTGATCGCCAGCAGGGCATCATCTTCTGCAACAACATGCCTGTGGTCTCAGTGGTGGTGGGCGCCACGCGTGAGACACCGTCTCGCCTCCTCTTCAACTATGAGGGCTGCTCCACGCACTCGATCAACAGGGAGGCCATCAAGAAGAGCTTCGAGGACCACTTCAGGACCACCCTCGAGGAGAGGGAGGTGCAGTGGCGGATTTAGCCGCACGCTTGCCCCGTGGAGGGCAGCCCACATGCAGCCGCAGGTCTCCTTCACCACGTGGAACGCCCGTGCCCTCTTGTGCAACAACATGACGCAGCGCCGACGCAAGACACAGTGCATGGTGGAGGCGCTTCGCGCCACCTCGGTGCTTGCTCTGCAGGAAGTTCATGGGTCACACGCTGAGCTCCAACATGCTGTACACCTGGCCCACATCGAGGCGGCGATCTTCTCATCCATCCCAGAGCGTGGCACTGGGGGCGTGGCCATCATCGTCCCTGGACTCCCGCAATCCGTGGCTGCCGACGAGTCCCGCTTCACGCACACCGAATTGGTCCCTGGTCGAGTGCAGCGCCTCCTCATCAAGACCGTGACGGAGGCTGAGGCTGCCCAAGGGTCTCTCCCGAACATGGTGGTGATCTACAACGTCCACAACTTCAGGCTGACGGCGCAGGAGGTCGACAAGGTCACGCGATCTCTTCGCGCCGAGGTGTACACTGCTGCCCAGCAACCGGAGCGGATTATTATACTAATGTATGTCTATTATTTTTTCCTAGTACTATTTACTATTTTACGATTACTATGGCTAAAACTGTGACTAGTATTAGTTTCTGAACGCTAAATTTAAATATTGGCTCATGGGCGACGTTCAAAACAAAAAAAAAAACAAAATTATACTTCATGGACGAAGCCCCGCTTGAGATGACTGCGCCCCTGGTCAACAAAGGCCTCCCCCGCCTCCGACGCCATAACCCAGAACACCAGCTGGCTTGGGAATCGGTTCTCTCGGACATGACGGAAGTGGATCCCGAGATCCCCACGCACTACATTGAACAGTCTCGGCAGTGTTCACGCATTGACAAAATCTACATCAGCTCGCCGCCCTGGTTACTGCTCCAATGGTGTGCCCGTGCTGATGTCCCACTCGCTCCCGAAGATCTCTACGATCGAGGAATATCTGACCACGCGCCTGTCCACCTCCGCTTCGCTCATCGACAACAGGAAGATGATGGACTGCGTCAGTCGATCCCGAAGTATATCTTCGAACACCCGCTCTTCGGGCAACACCTGGACACTCTGCTGGCAGCCTCCCCGTGGCAGTCCTATGTCCCGTTCACCCAACTCCGAGAACTTAAGCGCCTCCAACGTGAAGCTGCTCGCCTGACTCGCGACGACCTCACCAATTCGAGAGCCCCTTGTACTGCTGCTGCGCTGACGACCTGCCGATCGATTTCCCGTGCAGTATGGAGGAACGACGAGAAAGCGGCCCGCACTCTGGCTGCGCGAACGGAGCTTGGCGCCTCCTTCCTGGACCTCTCGTCTCTCCCGCAGGTTTCGCTCAAGGCGCCTCTGGAGTTCAGCCGAAAGTTCGAGTCCCTGCAACAACAGTACCAAGATGAACGATTGGAAGCACTTCACTCTCAGGAGATGGCGGCTGGCACTCCTGCTCATGAACGTCTTCGTCTTCGGAGGTTGCAGAGGGCGATCACACGGCGTGGCAAGCTGTGGGCACCCTCTGGGAAGGTTCTGAAGCTCAAGGCAATCGAGGTCCTGCATGACCACTCCAAGACGTCCAACCCCGACGAGATGATTGCGGAGCTACAGAAACAGTGGGCACCAGTCTTCCAGCCGAAGCCGAGCTCCACACAACACGTGCAACGTTACCTCGAGAAGCATGTGAAGAAGTTCGACTGCTCGGACATGGGCATCCCCACGCTTGGCAAGATGCAGCACCTCATCCGCTCCCTGAACAACTCGGCTCCAGGACCTGATGGTCTACCGTACATGGCATGGAAGAAGACACCGATCGCTGCACAAGTGCTCCTCAATGTCACGATCGAGATCATGAGAGGTCTCCCTGTGCCCATGGACTTCAATGAGTCGCTCCTGATCTTCACCCCTAAGGGGTCTGAACCTGAAGACCGCCAGACCGTGACAAGGCTGGCGAAGGCTACGCGCCCTCTCTCCCTCAAGAACACGGACTGCAAGATCGTGGCAGCCATGGGCAACTTCCTGATCAAGGCCATAGTGGCCAAGGACGCGCACCATGCACAGAAAGGCTTCCTCCCTCGTCGTCGCTTCATCGAACACGTGGTCATGATGGATGCGCAGTCGAGAATAGTGTCTATGGCGCCGCAACTCTCGGAGCGAGATCCCCTGATGATGATGTTCGACTTCGGCGACGCGTTCCCCTCGATGTGCCGCCACTTCCTTCGCACCGTGCTGCTGCTGGGGGGCTTCCCTCCGTCGATCCTCAACATGGTGGATGCCATCTACCTGTTCCCACTGGCCTGGACCAACCTCAGCGGTCACTTGCGCATCTTCTGCTGGCTGGGCTCTGGCATCCTCCAGGGCTGCCCCTGGTCTGGGACGCTCTGGGCGGTCGGCATGGACCCGCTGATAAGGGACCTCTTCCATCGCACGCGCCACTTCAAGCAGGCCGTCATTGGCGTCTGTGCCGACGATGTGGGTTCGGTTCTCCCCTCGATGCGGATGCTGAAGCCGCTGAGCCAGGTCTTCGCCGCAGCAGAGAAGCTTGCGAAGCTCACGCTCAAGACGATCAAGTGCAAGGTGGTCCCGCTGGCCGAGGAGTTCAGCTCTGCCTTGCATGATCGGGTCCTCGAGAAGTTAAAGGCGCTGGTTCCCCGCTGGGAGCACATGCAAATCGTTCCGATGGCTGAGTATCTGGGTGTGCTGCTGGGCCCCGCGGTCACCAACGAGATGAGATGGATGAAGGTGGTCGAGGGCTGGAAGGTCGTGGCGCACTCGATCGCGGACATGCATGCCCCCACCAGCACCAGCATCATGCTCTACAACCAGCGGGCGGCGTCGAAGGCCTCCTACATGGCCCAGCTGGCGCCTTGGCCCGCGCGCCTCAGACGTCAGGAGGCATGGCTGCTGCACCGCATCTGGCATATACCGCCACAGTCTCTTCGCCTGGCCGACATACTCAGCATCGGCCTATGGTCTCGCCCGCTCAAGATCGTCTCAATGGAGTACTCCACGATATCTGCTCTAGTCCGCAGCGCGAAGGAGACGATCAGGAACTGGGACCTCTGGCTTCGTCGTCTGCGCATCGTGGTTCAGAATGAACTGGAGTTCCAGCACTTCGGCAACCTGAACAACTTGGCCCCGCGGCACTGGAAGGAGCCTCCGTTCGCGTGGCACCTCCGTGAGGCGGCGACGGGGTTCAAGGACCAACCGCGCCCTGAGCCGCTGATGAAGGCCTGCCGCTCTGCTTTAGCTGCCTGGAGCACCGCCCAGCAGTCGGCAGGTGCAATCCCGCCCGGTGCCAGAACCCACCTTCAGCGCTTCGTCCACTCCCATCTCCTCTCCTCGCTCCTTGATGCCTCCTCTCTCGTCCACACCTTTCTCTCGCGGCTGAAGCTGTGGCAGTCGCCTGGGACGGAGTTGCCTGCGGATCCGATTGAATGGGAGCCCGTCCTGGAACTGCTGAAACAATTTCCACCAGCAGGCCAGTCTGCCCTGATCAAAACGTGGTCAGGCGCCTGGACCACGTCGCGACGACTGCACCGCTCGTCAGGAGATCAGTCCTGTGTATTTGGGTGCTCGCGAGTGGAAGACCCTGCTGCGTTTGACACCATGCCACACTATATGTCGTGCTCGCACCTTTGGCACGCTGTCTGCATGGCCTGGCATGTGCGTATCCCTGCCCCTGCATGCCTCCCCACCCGACTCGGATTGAAGGTCGGAGAGTCGGGGGCTGCGCACCGCATGGCTTTCGAGCGAGTGATCATTGCTTTCCATACCTACAATATACAGGCCAGGCTATGCCAGGACGCTTGGTCCTCCCCTGGTGCTGCAATTGCCAGTGCGAAGGCGGGGCGGGCCTTGCTTCTTCATACATATACGGTGCCCGCCTAGGCCTTTTGCCTTCTCGGACATCTTTGAACTACGAGGGACATCGCTGTTAGGTTGCTTTGCAGGGATATTGTGTGTCCTGGGTCCCCTTGATTTCAGAAGGGAACATGATCGACCCACGAACCCGGAAAGGAATATGGAGCCGTAGCGCATGGCAGCGTCTTCAAAGACGCCTGATTGGGTGACGTGCCAAGTTGCAATGCTGAGTGTATCGATCTTAATGTACCCTGCCGAGGGCTGTGGTGTGCTGCACCGTGCTGAACTGCGATGTGCCATGCCGCGATAGTGCTCTATAGCGTCGTGGATCGAGTCCTCCTCTGCATCCGAGTCCTGACTGAACTGATCTGGACCTTAAGCTCGAGCTGCCTGAACGCATGGTAGCTGCCCCAGAGCTAATTGACAGGGGAACATGCCAGGAGGACGCGCCGCGGAACGTCTCAAGGGACGCGCCAAGCGACGTGCCAGGGGACGTGCCATGGGGTCGCACCGCGGGACGTGCCAAGGGGACGCGCTACGGAACGTGCCAATGGATGTGCCACGGGATGTTCCAGGGGACGCGCCACGCGACGTGCCAGGGGGACTGGCAAGGGACGCCGCACGGGACGTGCCAAGGAACGTGCCAAGTTGCAATGCTGAGTGTGTCGATCTTGACGTGCCGTGCCGAAATCTGTGCTGTGCTGCGCCGTGCTGAATTGCGATGTGCCATGCCGCGATTATGCTCTATAGCGTCGTGGATCGAGTCCTCCTTTGCATCCGAGTCCTGACCGAATTGATCTGGACCTTAAGCTCGAGCTGCCTGAACACATAGTAGCTGCCCCAGGGCTAATTGACAGGGGAACATGCCAGGAGGACGCGCCGCGGAACGTCTCAAGGGACGCCCCAAGCGACGTGCCAGTGGACGTGCCATGGGGTCGCACCGCGGGACGTGCCAAGGGGACGCGCTACGGAACGTGCCAATGGACGTGCCACGGGATGTGCCAGGGGACGCGCCACGCGACGTGCCAGGGGGACTCGCCAAGGGACGCCCCACGGGACGTGCCAAGGAACGTGCCATGTTGCAATGCTGAGTGTATCGATCTTGATGGATCGTGCCGAAATCTGTGCTGTGCTGCGCCGTGCTGAATTGCGATGTGCCATGCCGCGATTGTGCTCTATAGCCTCGTGGATCGAGTCCTCCTTTGCATCCGAGTCCTGACCGAGCTGACCTGGACCTTAAGCTCGAGCTGCCTGAACACATACTAGCTGCCCCAGAGCTAATTGACAGGGGAACATGCCAGGAGGACGCGCCGCGGAACTCAAGGGACGCGCCAAGCGACGTGCCAGGGGACGTGCCGTGGGGTCGCACCGCGGGACGTGCCAAGGGGACGCGCTACGGAACGTGCCAATGGATGTGCCACGGGATGTGCCAGGGGACGCGCCACGCGACGTGCCAGGGGGACTCGCCAAGGGACGCCCCACGGGACGTGCCAAGGAACGTGCCGAGTTGCAATGCAGAGTGTGTCGATCTTGATGTACCCTGCCGAGGGCTGTGCTGTGCTGCACCGTGCTGAACTGCGATGTGCCATGCCGCGATTGTGCTTTATAACGTCGTGGATCGAGTCCTCCTTTGCATCCGAGTCCTGACCGAACTGATCTGGACCTTAAGGTCGAGCTGCCTGAACACATAGTAGCTGCCCCAGGGCTAATTGACAGGGGGACATGCCAGGAGGACGCGCCGCGGAACGTCTCAAGGGACGCGCCAAGCGACGTGCCAAGGGACGTGCCATGGGGACGCACCGCGGGACGTGCCAAGAGGACGCGCTACGGACCGTGCTGGGGACAAGCGTTTCGCTCGAGACATCCTGCCAACGTCAAAGGAATTCGTGGAACAACACGCGAATTAGTCGAGACATCCTCGAAATTCCTGCGCGCGGGACGGGGCACGCGCGATACATCCTCTGAATTCTTGCGCGCGGGACGTGGAAACAACCATTTCGCTTGAGACATCCTCTGGATTCTGCCCCCCCCACGAGGCCCCCGCTCGAAACATCCACTAATTTTGCAAAACCAGCGTTTCGCTCGAGACACCCTCAACAAATGATGATAACCAAAAACAAGCGGTTCGCCCGAGACATCCGAGCAACATCCAAGGAAATCTTTGACAAATAAGCGAATTAGTAAAGACATCCTCATCATTCCTGCGCGCGGGACGCGGCACGTGCGAGACATCCTCTGAATTCTTGCGAGCGGGACGTGAAAACAAACATTTCGCCTGAGGCATCCTCTGAATTCTGGCACCCCCACGAGGCCCCCGCTCGAGACATCCTCCAATTTTGCAAAACCAGCGTTTCGTCGAGACATCCTCAACAAATTATGAAAAACAAGCGTTCCGCTCAAGACATCCGGTCAAAATCGCAAGTCATCCTGGCAAAACAAGCGAATTAGTTGAGACATCCTCGAAATTCCTGCGCGCGGGACGCGGCACGCGCGAGACACCCTCGGAATTCCTGCGAGCGGGACGTGAAAACCAGCATTTCGCCTGAGACATCCTTTGAATTTTGGCCCCCCGAGACATCCCCCGATTTTGCAAAACCAGCGTTATGAAAATTACCCAAGGACGTACCCAAACCTTTGGCAACAGGTGGCATTATCAACTGGCGCTTTCAAAATAGCTGATCATCCGCTGGACGTCCAAGAGGCCCACGAAAGCGACGACCATTGCATTCTTGGCAATCGCCGCGCTTGAGGGTCAAGCGGTGTACTTCGTTCAACGAAGAATCAGCGCCCCGCGCTCACTGCGCTACAGGACGGCGCCGCGCGACCGATCAGCGAACAGCGCTCTGCGCTCGATCCTGGTGTCCACATACTGCCTGCACCAGGGCCGCGCCTTCTTTACCCCCCTCCGCGCTTTCCCATGCCACGGAGAAACAGCGCCGCGCGCTCGGCCTCGACTTGGGCCGTCTTGGGGCAGTATTGGGTGCCTCTTGAGCCGTCCTGTAGCTCCGGAGTGCCGAAAAGACGAGAAGGCCAAAATCTTTCGTAGCATTCGTGATTTTGGCCTCTCGGGGCCCTCCCATGAAGGCTTTTGGAGACCTCTTGGAGCGTCTTGGAAGCCTCTTGGGCCGTCTGGGGCCCACCTTGAACGTCCTGGAGCGATCGTTCGGCGTCTGAGGAGCCCACGGCGCAGTTGGCAGCTCCCCCCGCAGGGAGCCGCGAGGTCCCGACGCGATCCGCGTGTAACCCCACTCCGCTGGGCCTCCCAGGAGCCCACGAAAGGACCGACAGTTGCGCAGTTGGCAGCTCCCCCCGCAGGGAGCCGCGAGGTCCCGACGCGATCCGCGTGTATCCCGCTCCGCTGGGCCTCCCAGGAGCCCACGAAAGGACCGACAGTTGCGCAGTTGGCAGCTCCCCCCGCAGGGAGCCGCGAGGTCCCGATGCGATCCGCGTGTAACCCGCTCCGCTGGGCCTCCCAGGAGCCCACGAAAGTGCCGACAGTTGCGCAGTTGGCAGCTCCCCCCGCAGGGAGCCGCGAGGTCTCGGCGCGATCCGCGTGTAACCCCCACTTCGCTGGGCCTCCCAGGAGCCCACGAAAGTGCCGACAGTTGCGCAGTTGGCAGCTCCCCCCGCAGGGAGCCGCGAGGTCTCGGCGCGATCCGCGTGTACCCCCCGCTCCGCTGGGCCTCCTAGGAGCCCACGAAAGTGCCGACAGTTGCGCAAGATCGCAGCTCCCCCCGCAGGGAGCCGCGAGGTCTCGGCGCGATCCGCGTGTAACCCCCACTCCGCTGGGCCTCCCAGGAGCCCACGAAAGTGCCGACAGTTGCTCAAGATCGCAGGATGCGACAGCTGCGCATATCGCAGCCCCCCAGAGGGCGCCGCGAGGAGGAGGTAGGAGGCAGGAGGGAAGTGGGCGGGAGGACGGGGCGACCAGAGTGCTCTATTCAAAACGAGTACCCAACCAAGGGAAGGTTGGGAAAAAACGAGCGTTTCGCTCGAGACATCCTGGCATAGTCTAAGGACATCCTGGCAAAACGAACGAATTAGCTTAGACATCCTCGAAATTCCTGCGCGCGGGGCGCGGCACGTGCGAGACATCCTCGGAATTCCTGCGAGCGGGACGTGAAAACCAGCATTTCGCTTGAGACATCCTCTGAATTCTGGCCCCTCACGAGGCCCCCGCTCGAGACATCCCCCAATTTTGCAAAACCAGCGTTTCGCTCGAGACATCCTCAACAAATCAGAAAGAAACAAGCGTTTCGCTCAAGACATCCGGTCAAAATCCAAGGAAATCCTGGAACAACAAACGAATTAGTCGAGACATCCTCGAAATTCCTGCT